TAACATATTTTTACCATTATCGCTCATCTCTACTCCTGACAACGCTAATATTTATTGATAAGAATTTCTGTACAAAAAATATGCCTGTTATGCTGCTGTCATCGTTCCCTTGCTAATACTGCGATACTTATAATAGTTTTTCCGTATGTATTATAGTGATGTGATTAGGAACTTTCAAACGTTTGCTTTTAAAAAGTCATTTATTATACTAAGAATAGTTTTTCGATATGAATGGAAACATTATAAATAATTTTTAGGTTTGATATGTATGGGATATATGTAATTATGTTTTTTGAAATAATGAAAACATTGTTACGTGTTATGATATTATTTTCAATATTGATCATTGGATTTGCCTTAACATTTTGCATTTTGAAACCAGGTGGAACTGATTTAATTTTGGTAGATAAATAAAATGAAAATTTTATTCATTAAAAAGATAAAAATTGTGAATTCACTTTTTTTTTCAATTTAGAAATTTGAAATATCAAAGCCAAAAAATTTTTTTTTAATCATAATAAAAACATTAACAATGATGTTAGGTGAATTAGAATATACACAATCATATATGGAGCCAATATTAAATCAAGATAATACTCAACATTTTTCATCTATATCTCTATTTTTCATTCTTTTATTTGCAATTTTAATGCCTATATTACTCATGAATTTATTAGTAAGTATTTATAAAATTTATTTCTATTATCTGTTTTAAACGTTTTTCAGCTATTTTATAAAAGGTTGGATTAGCTATTGGCGATTTAATTCAAATACAACGTAATGCTAGATTAAAACGTTTGGCTATGCAGGTAAGATAAACTATTATCTTTTATTAATAGAATTTTTTTCTTCTTATTGACTTATTTGTCGCGAAATGGATCAACAAATTGTACATGTTTCTCTCCACAGCATCTCATAGGAGATACAAATCTATATTTTACAATGTATCTCTTTTAATCAATTAGGTCCCCGCTCCCTGTCGTTAGAAGCATACAACCTTTATAAAAAGGCCATATTGAGCCAAACGCACCATCAGATAGCCCACAGTATCTACTATCAGGATCCGGTGTTATTTAGTCCTCATCGAAGGAGTATGGAGATTTCTAGAAAAGTTTTCTGAAAACCTTAAAAAAAGGACTTATCGAAGGAAATAGCAGCAATGGCAGAATTCCTACATTTCAGACATTCTACAGAATTCTACATTTTCCCTATGAATTCTACAACAACTTTTTCACAGCTAAAACATGATATGTCCGAGTTATTCTCAAAACAGAAATCTAGGAAATGTATAGAACTCTATAGAATTCTATGTTAGTACAGACATAGTTGCTCACCTAGAATTCTATAGAATTCTATACATTTCCGCTTGTCTCCCACTCGGCTTATATATTGTACATGTGTAGTAAGGTAGAATTCTACAGAATTCTATGTTAGCATACAGATACTTTTTATTGACCAAGTTTGAGTCAAGCGGAAATGTATACAGAATTCTATTACTGAGTAGGAGTGGGGGCGGGGCGGGGCTGGTGTGCAGAGCATGATAGTGCGTCACCAATCAACTATGTTCGTACTAATGTAGAATTCCATAGAATTCTATACATTTCCGCTTGACTGAAACTTGGTCAGTAATAAATGTATCTCTAATAACTTAGAATTCTATAGAATTCTATCTTACTACACATATACAATATATTAGCCGAGCGGGAGACAAGCGGAAATGTATAGAATTCTACAGAATTCTACGTTAACATAGATATACTTTTTATCGACCAAGTTTGAGTAAAGCGGAAATGTATAGAATTCTATAGAATAGCTGAATTGCAGGAACTCTGACATCCCTCAATACGTTTAAATGACGTACGTCTTAGGGCTGTGACAGTTACCAGTTACCGTTACCAGCGTTCTCCGTTACTAGAGGTAACGGTAACTGATATAAAATTAATAAGCATCGTTCCTCGTTACTGGAGGATAAACGATTTCTTACTNTATCAATTACCATTACCTCTACTAAGGAGGAACGATGCTTATTAGTTTTATGTCAATTATAGTTACCGTTAGTAACGGGGAACGATGGTAACGGTAACTGGTAACTGTCACAGTCCTAGTACGTCTGCGTAAAGTGTATGGAACAGTCGCGCTACTTTGAATATAAGGAGTGTGATATGCAGATGCTTCACCTCTAATTATTTTGTGAAACAGAGTTAAGTTGTTAATTTTAAAGAGTTTCTGAATGTCAGGCCGTCCCAATATTTGCAAAATACTCTGTGTACTGAACAAATGGAAGGAACCAGAAACTAGGATAGCTGTTCGATACTGCAACCATAAAATAGGAATCAGTGATGATTTCGAAGTGCATGAATAAATAACATCGACGTGACTCAACATAGTTAGAATAGCAAGGGGAAATAGCTGATTTTTGGATTTTTCCGATTTCCTTTGATTCATTTGGGAAATCAAGTAAAGAGACTGCGATAAATAGTGCGGAACCTGTTTTATTTGTACAAAACAGAAATCCGACATAGGGAAACTAGAGGAAAAAAAGATAAAAGAAATGTTAATGTTAGTTTTTAGAAAGGAATAAGTTCGATCCATTTAGCTGACATAGTGAAACAGCTACGGCTTAAACCAGGATTTCTTTCTATCTTAGTCATTTTTGAGCGATTTTCACCAGTTTTTGATGGTTTTTAACTTAAACCGATTTTTTAAGCTCAAAAATCAGCTGCACAATAGGTTCTCATGTTAAATAAAAAATTTTGTTTTCTAAAAGGTGGAATTAATCTTTTTATTTCCAATTAAATTCACTTTAAAAACACATTTTTCAATTTATTAACTTAATGATTAAATATTTTACTTAATCAAACTTAGCAAAAATTTTAATTGTTGAGAAAAATTGACTTATGTTAAAATTGAGCATCCAATAATTTTATTAAACAGTCAAATTATTCATTTACAATAAACTAATGTATCGTAATTTGTTTTCTTTTTAAAGGTTGATCTACATACAAATTTAGAAAAAAAAATTCCACAAATATTCATGAAACACTTTGTCAAGAATGAATATGTATTTTATATCAATAAAAACTTATCATACAATATAGTCTGTCAATTATTGAAAAAAGTATAAAATCATTAGAAACTTTCTAAATCTTATTTCATACAAGTTATAAAACTGATATTTATTGTTCTTTCGTTTTTAGTGGATAGCAAATCCATTCAATGGCACAAAAAAGCCTGAAAATAGTGAGAATTTATCAGCAACAACAATTGAGAATGATTTATTTATTTTTATGTATAAACAAAAAAGAAGGTTCATAGAATTGGTGTTTATCAGAAACACGTTAAAGACTAAAAGAGTTTTTTTTTTTGTGTATGTTTTTAGACAAAATGAATTACGCCGACAAATGGAAAAATTAACCGATTTAGTTCGTTTAATCATTCAGAAAATGAATATATCATCTACTGAAACTGATTTGAATGATTATGACAGACCAACAAAAATGCCCGTTAACTGGAGTAAACTTCGTCTAACAATGAAAGCTGCAAATAATTTCAAGTCGTTTATACGACCAACATCATCGTCTAAAGTAGTAGATGACGATGAAAACGATGATAATTAAAACTATACATTCACACCATTCTTATTCTAGCCCCGTCAATTCAACGAAAAAAATATTTTTATTTTTGTCTTCTCACAAAATACTGGACTCAAACTCTCAAAAGAGCTTTTATTTCAGCAGATTTCATATGGAAAATGGTTAAGAGAAATATTTTTGTTGCCTAATCACCATTTAGAATAATAAAATCTGTCAAAATCAAACATACCTTTTTAGATCTTGTTTTTTGTTTATCGTTAATGAGTGACTTAAGTTTCCCTCACTGCTCTTTAGAGCCCTGCAACAGATACCTGTAAATAATGACTACCCAGACAAAAAAGTTTCTATCAGAAAGTGACTGGAATAGGTATGGTTTCGTCCTCAATAGAATCTTGCAGAAAAATGTTTTCTAAATCTTATGAGACGTCTCCGAAGTCTGAGTGACTTTTAGCTTAGGTGGGAAACGTTCTATAACAGTACGGATCTAATCACGGATTTGCGAGCGTAGACTCTTGAAAAGTACTTAGACTACAATGATCATTCCGGTGCAAAATTCACTTGATGAGTCGCTGCTGCCACTGTTTGTTTTAACCAAAATCTCTGTACACTAGCTCCACAGCGGGACTTTGCAAACAGTTTCTTGAGACTAATTCATTTACAACGTCATCTTTGACTCACCTGTTCTCTTCTCTACACTCGCTTGCTTTTGCTGACTTTAACAAGAAAGTGTTCTCACTTTTCCTTGCCCATAACATATATATCAAAACTTTTGGTTGATTTTCATTTTTTGATGAAAATGTCGGTAATTCTTCGACTCAAAAGTTCAAAAATAATTAAAGTGATCGAATCGGATAAAAAAGCGCATCATTCGACTCGATTTTTGACGCCAATTCCGAGTATGATATTTTTATTCCGTGAAAGTTGAGTTCTGATGGAGAAAATTGTGTTTGCCTCTAAAACACACTGAAAACCTTTTTCTAAATCAGTTTTTGACGCTGATTCGGAAAAATATAGTTTGAACCTTTCAATTTGCAACAGAACTTCAGAAAGTCAATTTCATTATAGAGATCGTTGTTTTCCGTTTTTGAGACCCTCTCACGAGGGAACATCCTGAGATGCTAAACACCATTTTGAATGGGACTATTTTCGAAATGTAGGCTCTCATGGGCTAGGAAGAACCCCAACTTGTTCCGAACGTAATTAGCTTTGTTGTTGAGATATCAAGTTTTTAGTCGAAGTTTCTCCACGGACCTGGATTTCAAGCAAAAACGGCATAGGGTAGAAACATTGCAACAGCTGCAACTTTATAGTTGAGGAAAAAAATTGAAATTGCTGCAATCGAATTATATAAAATCAAGTATTTATGGCTTTTATGGTATTTTAAGTATTTATGGTCGTTTGCAGTTGCGGCTGTCCCTTTTCGGTTAGCAATACGATTGTATAAACTAGAAGACATATCTCAAGAGTCATCGAAGTCGACTTTAGGGTTTTTTTTATGTTATTTGTTTAATTCATGTTATTGTAGGTTTTTATGTTATTTCAGTTATTTATGTTATTTATGATTTTGGTGCTATTTCTGGTGCTCACTTTTTCGCGAGCGCGCGGCTTCAAGAATTAAGGGTATCCCCCTCTTTTTTTATCTTGTTCCCAAATCCGGAGCACACGTCCGATTGAGCTCAAATTTATAGCAGAGATAGAACATCGAAAAAGAAAATCGATGTATTTTTGCCCAGAATTTTCT